TGCACCAGTATATTTTATTTTCTATGGGGCTTCCTTTCGTCTCATACAATTTCTTTCTCATATCATTGTCATGATTTCAGTAATTTGGGCAACTCTGTCTAACTTTCTTGTCTAGGTCTGAAGAGGTCTGAAGTGTCTACGGTGTCTCAATGTCTATCTCCACGATTGCTTTCGTTGTTTCTTTTTCTTACCACTGTCTACGTTATCTGAGTTGTTGGACCTCTATGCTGTTTACTTAATTATTTTTTTCCCGCTGGTCGCTTTTACTCTTTCATTTTTTTTTCATTTTTTTTAATAACCGAATAGCAAAGAAAAAAAAGTGAAAAAAAGCAATCTCCTCTTTATTTCTGCTTTTCCCTCACCAAATAAAATCATAGTTCAAGGAAATAAGCCCTTAGACTAATTTTAAAGGTCCCAGTAACAACGGCTAATCGTTTTCCAAAAACAAAATCTTTTTTTTGCTTTTTTTTTTTTGCTATTTTCTTGCCTATACGAACATCGTATGAAGGCCAATGACTGACAGCTATCATATAGCAGTGTCTGAAAAAAAATGACATATTTTAAGGGAATATGCGGGAAAAAAAAGTAGGGAAAAAAGCGAGAAAAGAGCAAAAGCAAGAAAAAATTTTTTTTTCTTTTTGTTTTCAGGCCTTAATGAAGTTGGCGAATGCTAGAAAATTCACAGCAGACCAAAAATCTTCACTGTTTCTTTCGCAACATTAATTCCTCGTATCCCCTGCAATAAATCAGTTCTATTTGTGACACTGTCTCTGTTTGGGTTGCGTGTCGTTGACACACCATAGGGGTACAACAGCCCATCTTTTTAAAATTCAATCAGAACACCAACAAGCGGAAGAAGGAACAGGCGCAGGAAAAGAAGAAGAAAAACTGAGAAGGAAGAACACGAAAAGGCAAGAGAATAAGCAGGAGGTCGAGAAGAATAAACGTAAAAGGGGTTTGAAGAAAAAGCCAAGACGGTGAGCTCGAAAAAAAGCCGAACAAATAAGGCTGAAACAGCTCAGCCGGAAGATCATCTATTAGCAACCGACAGTGTGCGTGCCAAAACGACAACGTCTTATACATAGATAAATTGGAAAAATCATTTGACTTCACTCCACATAAACGTCTCGGATACCGCAACAGAACACCTAAAACTGACGTTGACGTTCACTGGACCGACAGGAATTTTTTTGCTAAAAAACTTCCACTCTGTGCTCTGAGCCGGCGTCATCATCATCATCATCCTCATCATCGTTATCACTGTCAATAACAGAAACAACAGCAGCAAAGATCGGATAAAATACTTCAGTCAATCGGGAAAAAAAATTTGATTCTGCGCGCCTGTGAAGAATCTGCTTACATTAAACAAAACGAAAAGCACTAAAGTACGATTGCCAAGGTGCGGCTCAAGAAAAAATTTCAACCAACGGTAGTTGTTGAATTGTGCCATTGCAATGTGAGGTTTCATTAAAAAGTATCCTTTGAAGAACAATTAAGGCTAATTAAACGAAGAAAATAATTTTGGCTCAATTTTCTTCCTAAATATAAAAACAAAAACTGTTTATCCAGTGGAGCAGAGCAGAAGAAACAAGCGATAAGAGGGCAGAAGAAAAAAGTAAAAAACGGACAAAAGAAGACGGATACCAGAAAAGAGGGGATATATAAAGTGCAAGGAGAAGGATCTAAAAAAAATAAAGAGCACAGGTGGAGTAGAACAATTTTCAAACAGCACAATAGTTGAAGCGATAAGGGACATTGAAGAAGATAAACGAGATGCAAAAGATGACTGCGCGACGACATACCGTATGGTTTGTATCTGGGCGAAGGTAAGCTTTCACAGTTGTTCTGAAGTATTAAAAAAAGGGGCGTTTCAAGTACTACCAATAGAGATTAATAACAAATGAAAAGCAAATGAATTGGGATCTGAAACTGCACAAAATACAAAAACAAATGTATATATACGGACTGACATATGTGGTACTTACCGCCACCGAGTCAATTTCCAGAGCTGTTTGAGGTGGGAGAAGGAATAAAGGGAGGGTTAGAAATTGGAGATTTTAAAGGAAGAAGAACGGAAAGGACAATATCTTTTTTTTCGTTCGCAACAATAGCTCAAAAGGACTCCTGAACATAAAAAATGTGTAATTAACAACAACAACAACAACAACAGCAAAAAGCTAAACAAAATGGAAAATTTGCTGATTGTTTGAAGAGCATACCAGAGGTATTAATTTAAAAGTAATCGTGGTAATATAACTAACAATTACAACTGGTGATTAAAAGGAAATGAAGTTTTGTACGCACTTCCTATACTGAATCTAGTTAACAGTACCATGGTTTTGAGAAAATAAAAATAAAAACTAAAATAAAAACGAAGGTAAAAGGGAAGACAGAAATGAACAAAAAAATTTTTAATACTGACTTGTTGAGGCAAAGGTAAAAATGGTTATGTGATAGCGTTTCTATGTCGTTTCCCACCCACTTTGATGTGGTCAACTAATGATGGCATACAAGTAATCACGCCTACTAGCAAACATTAAACTGGCCAACGAACAATTCAGACATGGCCAACACGTTTTTTACAAAAACCATAAAAACAACAGCAACAACAACGAAGCTAAATAAATAAATAGATGAATTCGACATATATCAAAATCGGATTTCCAGTCAGCATCTCTGTCAAGACTGTTTGGCGATGAGGGGCAAGAAATAGTTACCAGCAGCAACGCCAACAATTTGCCAACCAACAAACAGGCATCCTAGCATCGCTTCAACAAAGTCTTCAGTGCTGCTTCGTGACAAGCCAACAAGCAGCCAACAATCAGCCAACACCCTAACAGGCCCTTAGGCAACACCCAACAGCTAAACAGCAAAATTGGTTAAAACCAATTTTACGGGGTGGAGTTTTCGGGCGGCGTCGAAGTTGAAGGAAAACTGCTGGTGCTGCTTGCTCATTTAGTTGAAGTATATTTTTTGA